CAAAACTAGAGACTAGCTTTGTCAAACTCAAAAAATTTATTAAAATTAGGATCAGAAATACTAGTAAATATGCATAGAGGTGCACATTCAAAACGGAATTTTTTTTACGGACGAAAAAACAGAACTAGTTTTTTTGAAAACCGGTTTTGGAAAAACCTGTTAGATTACAACCGAATCAGAGGTTAGTAATATGTTTTAATAAATATTTGAAACAGATTTTTTCTCTGTTTTTCTACTACAACCGAACATAACCATTTTCTAAATAGAAAAAAATGGTTTTTTAAACTCAATTTCACTTAAAAAACCAAAAAACATCGAAATAATTATAACCGAAACCGATACAAAAAATATATTCAAAATCCAATAAGTTTTTTAAAAACCCGAAATCGATTAAAACCGGTAAATATGCACCTCTAAATTTGTATATTTCGATCAAATCCATCAAAATGAGTAAATGACTTGCGTACTTGGCATTGGCCCAATTCAGAATAGCCCAATCCCAAAGCCTGACTAAGGTTCTGGGTGGAATCTACCACTGCAAAATACTGCCAGTCATGACTCGTGATAGGTCCAAATATGCTCATTTTTGCATTATTATTATTATTTTCTTTTTTTTAGCTTGTTATTGTATATAAGATTATTAACTACATGAATATCTTCCTAGTTGGAATGCTAAATGATTACTTGGCTCCTATGCAAATCTTGAGACTTATTTCGCACTCTTTTTAAACCCAAAATAAAAACAAGTATTTTTTTAAGTGATAAAAGGGGTATAAAATAGAATACATATCATTGGCAATGATTAGAAAGGCTAATAATTTTGTACTAAGAATAATTATTACTTGTATTAGTTAATCCTTTACATCTAGTTCATCCCACCCACGCATATTTGGTCGTTAAGCAAACAAAGTTGACTCCTAATTACCTAATAAACTACTTTACTAACTTCCTATAAAAGGAATCAAATCTTATATATTACTTTCAAACAGATTTTAGGTTGGATTTGGCACAATCATTTCATTCATACGACACATGTTACCCTATATATGTATTTTGGCTAAATCATATGAAAGGATGTTTGATATGAAGCCACTAAACCAGTTAATTTGATGTTAGTAATCCCTATCATAAGTCATGCTAATCTAGATAAGCAATGGTAAACTCGCACCTAATAGACTTTGCATAGTTAAATATTAAAAATTACCGGCATAAGTGACGATGGTAAGGAGGTAACAAACAATAATACAATTCTTAAAGGTTCAAATATGGACATTACACATTTTATTTTGTTCACTAGAGAGCGTCAAATATAATTTTTTCGTTATGGGCTCACTGACAATAAACTAATTACATATCGCCTCATAAAACAAACGTTTTCGATTTTGTTCTCTCACAGAGAGAGAGAGAGAGAGAGAGAGAGAGAGAGAGAGAGAGAGAATGGACCGCATATATCATATATGGATTTTTGTCACCGCCTTTCTTTAATTGAATTGAATAAGGTATTCACATGGGAGGACAATACAAGTAAAAGCATCATTCACCCACCTCAAATAACAACCCCATCTTCTCTCATACTATTATATATTATATAATAAGTATGTATACATAGATAGTTTAGTGTTTACGTATGGAAACTTTCCAATTTTGGTGTCGTTTTCTATGGGATTTTAGTGTAGAGGTCCCCCAGGAATATGGGTTGTCCTTGAAAGGAACCCCATACCTCGCACTTGATATGTTTTAACTTGTATCAGCCTCTATTTTTGTACTTGAAATCCTCTCTCTAAATCCCATTGATCATGTTGTATGCAATTAAGTAATACCTAATAAAAAATTGTCGCTGCTATTTCCTACTTTTATATATTTAATAAATTATTGCCAATCAAAAAAATAGTGAATTTAATGTATACGAAGCAATGGTATACAGTGAATGATGTTTAATGTTTCATAAAAGTATACACAATGCATAGTTTATTGGAAGAGTTCAATTATGTGGAATGTCTGGTTAACATTCATTTGATTAAACTCTACAATATATAATGTCACGTTGGTTTTTACTGGATATGGAAATCAATGATTATTAAACTCTTCAATTGAAAAAAAAAATTAATTCAAGTAGGAAGCCTTCCATCATATTACATTTCCTTATTCGTGGATAGATTCCAATCCAAATTATCAAAATGGAAGTCAAAAACCTTATCTTTTGGCGGCAGATTGACACTCATAAAGTCAGTTTTAGGAAGCCTTCCATCATATTACCTTTCCTTATTCGTGGCACCTGAGGGCATTATTGACACATTGGAAAAGATGAGGAATCGGTTTCTTTGGGGAGGATCAGATGAAAAGAAAGTGGTCCATTGGATCTCGTGGGATAAGGTAACAACATCAAAGGAATCTGGTGGTTTAGGTGTTGGTACAATAAAAGCACTAAACGTCTCTCTAATAACAAAGTGGTGGTGGAGGTTGAGAACCAAGTCGGATCAGTTATGGGCTGCTGTGATAACGAGTGTGCACAATCTAAGGTCGAAACCCGATGAATGTTACTATGCAAAATCGCTACCTGGGGTATGGAATAACATCGCTGGAATTGAAAATGATCTAAGTAAAAAGGATATCCAAGTTAAGACAGTGTTAGACAAAAGAATAGTAAACAATGGAGTCATATGGAGATGTGGGCTAACCTCGGATGGATCTTTCACAGTGAATGCTCTCAGATCAAGATGGGACTACCGGACTCCATTGACCAATATAAATTTCCATTGGATAAAAGAAATCTCACTGAAAGTCTCTTGCTTCATTTGGAGGGCACACTTGGGCAGAATCCCAACAACTAAGGAGTTAGTAAAAAGAGGGGTAAACATGGAAAATTTAACATGCTAGATGTCCAATGAAAAGGAAGAAAGCGCTGATCATATTCTTGTAGATTGTGATTATGCAAAGAAGGTCATGGAAGGAATAATGAGATGGTGCAAGGTACATATTCATATGGAAGATCTCTGAGCGGTGTCGGATGTCCTGAACTTTGCCAATCAATGGGGAACGTGTACTAAAAAGCGGAAGATATTCATGGCAATTTGCTACTCTACACTATGGAGAATCTGGATAGCAAGGAATGAAACAGTTTTCAAAAAGAACCAGCTACCACCCGAAAAAGTCGTTGAGTATGTCAAATCTGTGACTTTTCTTTGGGTGAAGAACAGTGGAATCAAGATAGAATTGATCTGGGAAAATTGGCCTCAATGCCCTTTGTTCTTTTAGTTGTTTGTCTTTTCTAGTTTTCTGCTTTGATATTTTGCATTGCCACTGATTTGTGGTTGTAACTCTGTTTCTCCTGTCTTCTCTTTTATATAATCTATTTGCCGGTTCAAAAAAAAGAAGTTTTGCTACATGGTGATCCAAATTTTGGGATCATAAAGTGTTTTATCTATAACTATTTTAATGCTACTCAATCTTGTTGTGGATGGTAACATTCCAAGTGACCATTGACCATAAAAGAAACCAAGATATTTATTGTTCCACTTAGTGGCAGACATAGGGGGTTTCTGGGGTGATCAGTGTAACCCTTCAAAATTTAAAATACAGTGAAATTTTTTTCGAAAATTTTCCAACATAATATAAATTTTACGGCGTGTGAGCCCTAAAATCATATAAGCCACCACTGAGATGTTAGCATACGTCCACCACTGGTTTCAAGATGTTAAAAAGGAAAAAAGATGGTCGAAGCTAAGGAAATGGCCAAAGATGGGACATGTTAATGGATGTTTATGTGATTTGAAGTAGATAATAAAGAACATGGACGGTGGTGGGCTGGTGGCATATGAGGTAGTTAGGGCTAGTATAACAATCTTTGTAGTTTCTATGAGCTAAAACAATTTTGAAATAAATTTTGTAAATTGTAAATCAATTAAGAAAAATATGTGTAGGATAAGGCCCTAAATGGTCTATATCCTTAACATTTAAAATTTTAAAAATTGTCGAGACATACAAATAAAAAGAGTCATCCTTATTTATATTTTAAATGTCAAATAAAATATCGTTTAAATATCAAAATGTTACATTTATCTTTGGTTTTCAACTGAATCATCTAATTTGAACCAAATATCAAAATAATTAGGTTAGGCTTCGAAAACAAAATAACAATTACCAAACTCACATTTTAAGAGTAATAGGTAAGGTCAACGATCCAAAACATTTGTTTTTATATATTGGGATCAAACATGCCAACATACGGAAATCTTAAACATATTGATTATTTTTATAAAAACAAACTTTATAAGAATTTTGTATACATTACAAAATTACAGGGACTAAATATATTAAAATCCAAAACATTTATTGCAAAACTTTAAAACTAAAACATGGCAAAAATCCAAAACCAAAAAAAAGAGTGACAAAACTTTAAAAGTAAAAACATTTTCGGTAAAAGTTCAAAACCAAGAAAAAAGTAACTATTAGTAAGTAACTTTCAAATTAATATATAGTATAATAATTGGTAAAAGACACATTTCCAAATACCATCAAAACCATCAAGAGTAAATCAACAACTTCACAAACGAAATACATATGCTTTTACCCCCGATACCAAAGTCAATCTCACAAAACCATCAAGAGTAAATCAGCAACTTCACAAATAAAGTACATATTCTTTTACCCCCCATACCAAAGTCAATCTCAAACTATTAAAGGGAATATCTCAAATGCATTAAGAGAATATATAATTTATAGTACCTAAGTCATAAGTGACCACAAAAGTCAATAACTCATCCTAAATGGATTCACAAGGTCTTGATCAAATTTTAATTTCAAAACAAAATGTTTCGTAAATGCACTCATATGACATACTATTTTAACTTTTAGATACACATAGTATTTCAAATAAGGAAGAGTTCAATGTTCAAAATATAGTAATAGGCATGTGTTCTTGGTAATATAGGGTATTGGGGTCGTAGCATAACCACATAATATAACAGACGACATACAAACATTTAACTAACAAAAACAATACCACTGTAAATTTAACATTTTTTCCCTTTAAGAAAAACATGACAGAGGAGCAATGTCCAATATATCGCATTTGAACAAAAGAGACAACATCCATATCCATACTCCATAATACTAAATACTAATTAGTAATTACTAATTACTGATTAACACTATTAAGCCAAGCCACGTCAGCATGTAACATCAAGATGTGGCCCACACATAAACATATCAAACTTCTTCACCCGGTCCCACCACCCACTAACCTTCTTCCCACTCACCCCGCCACGTGGACCCTTCTTGTCCTTCATCACCTGCGCCAGACTTGTACATGTGCTACTATTACTTGTACTACTCATCGAACAACCCATCTCATCTTCCCCACCACTCCAACTCACACTACTACTACTCCACCCACCACCACCGCCGCCACCTCCTCCACCACCGCCACCACCACCACCCACCATCAACCGTTTTATATTAATACTAATATTACTCTTCTTTCCTTCAGTTCCCTTACTACCTTGTTTCATTAACTTCTCGTAATACTCTTTGTTTCGTTTCTCTAACTCATAGATCTGACCTTGAAGATCGTCGATCTTACGGCTGAGAATGAACACACGTTGATCTTCGGTTCGTTCGAGCAACACACATCGAGCAAGCTCACCGGCTTTACGTTTCATGAAGAGAGATTCCGAAGCGAGACGAGAGTTTTCGTTTGTTAGCACTACACGCTCCGATTCCAAAACATCTAACAAACTTTTCTGTAACTCGATCTTCTTCCTCGATTCTTCCTGAATCGAATCACACACCTTTAACTCATCCACCATGAAATCGTATTCGATAAACTTGATTACGAGTTCGGATATTACGAGATCTGAGGGAGTTTGTTTTTCAGGGGGTTGGTAGGAGATTGAGGTTGTTTGAGCGTCGTCGGAGAAATCGGTGGTGGTGTGGATTGAAATCGGACTTGGTGGTTGTGATTCATGGTGGTGGTTGTGGTGGTGGTGTTTGTAGAGAGTGCGAGTGTAGCGATCGGCTAAGTGAAGGTAGCGATTGTAGAGGTCGTGGAGGAGGGCGAGAAGTTCAGGGCGTTTCCGGTAGTAGAAATCGGCGCGTTCACCGAAGGTGTCTGGCTTGTCTTCTCCGTTGATTGATTGTATTTTATCCTCCATATCTGATTTGGCAAAATTGTTAGTAAAATATATTAATTTAAAAGTAATTATTTAATCCGTGGTTTTAGTAAACATCAAATGCCAAACAGTATAAGAAAATATGTTTAATTGGAATATTTTAATAACAAATTAGGTGTAAATATTGAGTTTTATTTTTAGGTTGAATATTTCCGATTAAAAAGTTGATGAAAATGTAATAATAACAGTAGACAGTAGACACAATTAATTCATCTTATCTTAAAACTTAAATTTTCTAGAGCAAGGAGAAAACTATAATGAGTATGAAATATTATTAAATTAAAGTCAAATACCATTATATGGCACATTATTAAATGAAAGTAAAGTAAATCCAATTACTTTCATTTGTCTAAGTTAAGGTTACAAGTATTTTAGCAAATCACATATTTACTCATTATATTCAACTTTAAATAAATAGAAAAGATTCTTAGAAAAAAAAATATTTAACGAAATCGTGGAAAAGAAAAGTCAGAAAAAAGAAGAAAAAGTCCCATAAGGTAATTTCAAAATTTGAAAATAAAGTAAAAAAGTTTCTAAATTTACAGTCCCTTTTGGATCAGGACGTTTTGTTCTTGGCATTAAATATAGATATTGTTTTTACTTTTGGAATCAGAAAAATAAAAAAGTTAAGGAAAAAGATGAAAGCGACTATTCATAAAAATTATTTTCGAGTACATACACCCCAGTCTAAACAGTCCCTCCAAAATCTTATTCAAAATCCGAAAGATTCTTGCCCAGCAGCTAAAAGAATAATTGCTTTTGCCAACGTCTATTTTCTCTTTTTTCATTTCTAATATTTGACCAATTCATTTATGTTAATTCATAACATAAGGAATAAAATCACAAAAATAACAAACATTTGGAATTCTTTTTCAACAAAATGACACATTTTTACACTTTACACAAAGTAATCACTAATCAAGTAATTTCACAACAGGACCATTTACATAATTTTGTCAACAAATTATATTTTAACAATTTTCCCCTGAATACTATTTTTTGTGATTTTCTTCAAGGTACAAGTTTAAAAAATAAATCCTTAAACAAAATAAACAAAAATAGGCAAAATAATGTGAAATAAATAATAGTGTTGCAGTATGTCAGTGTCCTATTATATAGCCCCGCTGAAAGGTAACCCCATTGAGTAGACGTTTCCGTCTCAAACTAATAAATAAATTTTCATCATAAATTATATATATTTCTGGCAAATCCCAGCCGTCCATACAAAATCAAATTTTTTTACCATTCCTTTTCAGTCTTCAATATATCTAAAATTAAATGCACCCAACTATTTTTTCTATAACATTTACTTATTTAAATGTGAACACAAAATAAAAAACTCAACAGACACCAGAAAATAAAATGTTGTCCTTGAATTACTCTTTTGAAACATTGGATGCTCGCCAAATCAGAAATTCCCTATTACTTAATTAAAATAAATATAAAAATTTTCAAAGCTTGTTTTTTTTTCTTCAATTATTTTTTTTATAGTTTTATGTACCTTTAAAAATGTCAAACAACACTGCAAAGTTTTTGACAAATAATCTTGTAACAACGTACGAATTATTTTTTAAGCATTTAAGTGATTACGTTAATCATTAGTAAGTATCACTAATTAATCGGAACACGTGTGAAAAATCTTCATTTGCAATTCAATTCAATAAACTTTTGTACTTTTTAACTTTTCAATCCAGATTCCAAGAAAATAATCGATGAGAAAAGCACAAATCGCAATTATTTCAAATTAGTTGACAAAAATCTGAGGAAAAGGTACGCACCAGATATCGAGAGTAGGAGCCATGAAGGTTTACTGATGAATCTGCTTTTACTCCGGCGTGATTGATCCGACGATGACGACGGCGATATTCCGTCTACGGCGGCGGAGGAGTTTGAGTAGGTTATAGGTAACATCTTATCAGCCGACCCTATCATCTGCAAATATCGGAAACAACGCTTCCAATTAGAAGCCAGATAGATATAATAATTGTACGATTATATTACACCAGATGTGAAATAATTGAGTAGAATTGAAAGTTCAAGTTATATACGATAATAGATTAAATAATTGTTGTTTCGTGTCGGAAAATAATGACCAGAGGCTTGGTTGGTGTAATCCTGGACAAGAGGTAAAGTATTTAATGCAGCCGGTGGCTAATTTCCAAGTTTGATTTCTCAACAACGATCAAAATATATAAATCGCGAAACTGCATATGGATTTGCAAGGAAACATGTATGGAAGAAGAATTAGAATAAGAACAACAACAAATGTATTGTAGCAAATAATGAGACGCAGATCTCGAGGTTTCAAACGGCTTTGATTTCAATTACATCAGTTCTATCTAAAAACACAGTAAACGCACATCGTGCCCTACAAGTAATGGAGCACAAGGAGCTCTTCGCTCTTAAATTAACACAGACGCATATATCTCTATCAAACGTTGTAGCCGATAATCGGGAAAAAAAATCCGATACGTTTGTTAAATGTATAAACAACATAATAATCGCGAAGGAAAACAGGAAATGAGGAACGTGAAGATGAAAACTGTCACTTCAAAATTCGAAAGCAAAATAGGAACAACAATGGAAATACTTACTTGCTGTTTTGGTGAACCGAGAAAATGGAAGTAGCCGGTGAACAGGCGGAGGATGGAGGAGAGAGAGAGAGATCAGAGGAGAGGTTGTCGGTAGAGAAGAAGAAAACTAGCTGGTGTGTACATGAGTTTTTTCTGTTTATACGAATGAAGCGACTTGTAGTGGGGATTAGATGAGGGGAAGGGGGGTTGCAGACTTTAAGTAGTTAAGTGCAAGTGTTGCCAAAATCCCGCAAAAGACTGGTTTGATTTTCAAAATACGGGTGGTGCCACGTGGGATATATATGCTTTTTCTTTTGACTCTTTTAATTTGAATAAAAGGAAAAAGTGTAATACTACATGATAAAATGTATATCTACTAGTTTTTAAGTATGAGTCAAAGAAAATACATATTAAAGTATAATGATAATTAATTGATAGATTTGAAATTATATCTATCAGTTTTACCTTTTTTTATTGTTTAGATAATCTCTTTCATTCATGTTTTTGGTTCTTTGCTTGATGGTTTTAAGAGCTTAATCATTATGGGTTCTTTGGTAGGATTTGAATTTTTAATATCTGAATTTTTAAGAGAACTGAAATTTTAAAAACTGAATATTTAACATGTTGTTTGGTTGGGACCTCTGAATTGTTCTGCTGAATTATTAAAAACAGCATCATTTCATTTGGATCCTCTAATCCGTGTTGGAATCTTATCCTCAAATATCAGTCTTGCAAATTGAAACCTCAAGTCATTTCACAAGGTCATGTCTATCAAAACCCCACTCCCAAAATGAATCATCAGAATCACTCATGTGTATAGATCATGAATGCTCTCTGTCCGGCTATATTGATCTCATTTCTCAAAGTTCTCACTCAAACTTGTTAACGGTATTCATTGGGCCTTTCAATGAATTTTAAAGGTCGATGCACCAAGATTCACCATTCTACAGCATAAGTGTTACCGATGACTCGCAATTCATTATCTAACTACTACATCATAGTGTAAACATGCCAAAATCTAAAAAAAGCCATGATTACCTTATCACTCCTCATTTCCATTAAACATTCTCTTCAAACATAATAGTTAGTCTTTAACAAATTTATAAAATAATTGAGAGTCATATTAACCATCAATAGGTATTTGTAGTGAGTCATTTTCAAGACTTATGTCATCGACTATTTCCTCTAGATTCGCCCAATCTTTTACACTTTCAACATGTTTACATGATGTTTCTCTTACTTGACAAAATCAGATTCCCAACTTTTTTATCACATGGGAGTTCGCCGTTATTTTACCCAAATCAGTAGTTCATTAACCCGCTTGCACCATCTACGAGTTACCTAATCACCAAACATAATACTCATTTTTTATTATTATTCTCTCAAATAAACTTTCTTTAACACCTAAGTATATCACTAATAGTGGTCCTAAAGCAACTTGTTTCTCCTTATTCATCACAAGTTAAGTCTGGGTGTGGAACTTCCACACTTAACTCGCTTAAACTATAATTATGATACCACCTTGAAACACTCCATATTTTCTCATGATAATTGGCATAAATAATCGACAATATTTGCAATCATGTCATGTCAAACGGAAATAAGGTCCCTAAATAAGGCAAATTTTCTGACTCCATCGAACATGCCACCTAAGACATCCCTAAGGTTGTTAGTCGCCTCGGAACTTGGCATTAAAGTTGCAAATCGTTGGATTCAGCGCTTTAGAAGGCGCCTAAGTGTCACACCCCCGGCCGACGGCAGAAATATCGGTTTGTGCGACGTAGGGATATTGGATCGAGGTATATATATATATATATATATATATATATATATATATATATATATATATATATATATATATAGAACATAACACAAAAGTATATCACAAACGATAATTTCATTTATTATAATTTATTTGGGATTACATTTTTTAAAAGGTCAAGCACATATCATGAACTTAACTAGAAATGACAAATAGACGGAAATAAACTCCAACAATCTTCCTTGAAAACCTCATCATCGGCACGACTACCCTCCGCACTCATCTCCCTGAGAATACATGTATTTTTTAAAACGTCAACATAATGTTGGTGAGTGCACGAGTTTCTTTTATAGTTTTCTGCTTTATTTGGTTGTGTTAAATTAAGCATCATTATTCTTTTAGAAAAACCTTCCTTAAGATATTTTATATACCCTAGTTTACTATCTTTTTACGATACTTTATCAATCCTAAATTACTATATTTGTAGGGTATTTACCGATCCTATCTTATTATATTTTTTAGGATATTTTATTAATCCTAATTTACTATCTTTTAGGATGTTTTACTAATCCTAACGTATTTTTATCTACCACTCTAAGGCGTCCATGTTGGTAGTCGGATATCTGTGGTGGTTGTAATGTATTACAATGAGCCCCCATAATCAACGTTGTTTGACCAGTGATTCCCCGCCACGCCGCTAAGGATGAATGTAACACTTGGAGTTTGGTATGTTCCTTATTTGCCCTTTATATTTAATTTGTTGTATTATTGGTCCTTGGAGTAGTATGCGGGGCGTACCACATGGTACACTTAGCGTACAAGCTGAGAAGCTAGTACGCGGGGCGTACCACATGGTACGCTTAGCGTACTAAGGTGGAGTTTGATCGTGGGTGTGAGTCCTCGTAAGTTGGGCGTACGAGGGTTACGCTTAGCGTACGTGGAGGATAAGAAACCCTAATTTTAGGGTGTTACACCTTATTTAAAGTCCTTAAGTCCTTAGGGTTGGCCTCTTTACCCGCCTTCATTTCCCTAAAACCCTATATCTTGATCATTAGCCTCCATTGTTGTGTCTTTGAGCTCTTGAGAAGAATTTGGTGCTTATTTTTCTCATTTTGAAGAGATTGAAGAAGATTGAAGGTGCATTGATTAAGGTGAAGCTTAGAGATCCAGAATGATCACTCATTTTGCAAGTCTTTTGAGGTATCATGTTCATAACTTGTCTTCTCCTTGATTAGATCTCTTCATGTCTTAGTTTTTGTGCTTTTGGTCCCTTTTGGGTTAGCTTGATGGGTTAAGTCGTTTTTGGGGCTTATTCTTTTATATATGGGCATATTATGAGTTTCTTTGGCATAAAGTTAGTAACTTTATGGTGTTTATGGCCTCATGCATGCATTAAGTCATATATTGAGTCCTTTTGAGCTTTAAGAGCTTCATTAAGCCATGCATGCACATAAAGTTAGCAACTTAACGTGATAAATCAGCCCAAGGAAGTCAGATCGAAGTTGTCAAGTGGTGTCTTAATCAGTTAAGAGCTGGAAATGAGAGTTGGCCGAATGAGGAGCTACACTGGGCGTACAAGGAGGTACGCTTAGCGTACAAGCCCTAAGGTGAGTACGTTGCGCGTACAAGCTGAGTACGCCCCATGTACTCAGCAGAGTGGGCCTCGGATTATTGGGTCTTCGGTTTGGGCCATATTTTGGGCTTAGATGTTTAGGGATTTGTCGGGCCATCTGAATTCAGGTGTTTTGGGCTAGGAATTTTTGGACCTTGGATTAAGGCCCATGAAAAGGGTTTGGACCCAATATGGAAATTGGGCCATTATTGGGCCTTGGATGATTATTTTGGTATTTGGGCCTTTTTAATTGTAGGTTTGGGCCTTAGTTTTGGACCAAACTAAGTAAGGGGTAAAATGGTCTTTTTACCCTAATGGTTATAGATTGGAATCTAATTACTACTTGGATGTTATTTGTCATTGATAGATCGGGGATTTGTCGGACCAGCAGCCAGAGATTTATCAGTGTGATTTAGCAGTTCTAGGTGAGTTTCCTCACCATGTTTAGCGGGACGAAGGTGCCAATGCCGACCCATGATCTGTTATGTTAGAATACTCGTTGTCTGTGTGACACTTGTATGTGTATGTGCTTGTATGCTTACTGGGTGGGGCCCGATGGTTATTCTGTATGCTATTACATGTTATGCTTATATGAATTGTATGTGGGCGGGGTCCGTTGTGCGAGTTTGGGAGGGGGCGTTATACTCATTGGGCGGGGTCCGTTATGCGAGTTTAGGTCGGGCCCGTTATGCGAGTGTGGGCGGGGCCCGATACACTCATTGGGCGAGGCCCGTTATGTGTTATGTATGTATGGTATGTGGTATGCTGGGGAACTCACTAAGTTTTGTGCTTACAGTTTTCAGTTTATGTTTCAGGTACTTCCGGTTCCAAAGGGAAGAGCTCGGGATGATTGCAGGGCACACACCACCTTGTTTCACATTTTCTTGATTTACTCTGATATGATATGTTGATCGATCCATTTGTTTATCTGGATTTTTATGACGATGTATTTGGGATATCAGTTTTTATTAAATTAAAAATGAAATTTTTGGGTCTTATTTTGGGACGTTACAATGAATATTAACAGCTCACTAGCTCATTAACCTTAGGTATTTTATCTTTTTATCTTTTATCTTTCTTAGTGATTTCCTATAACTATCATAAAACCCTTAAATTTTATATTTGATAACTATATCTTTTAGATCTCATAATTATCTTGTGTGTGTGTATATATATATATATATATATATATATATATATATATATATGTTGGATTAGTGTCTAAGCCCATAACTATAATTGGTATATACTTGACCCGACCCGACATGGTCCATTTGGGTTGCATGGCATCGGGACATTTGGATAGACCTTTTGTGAGAAGAGGATATTTGTGACATATTAATATATTATAAGTTCTAATATATTAATATGAAATCATATATTTAATTAGTATTGATCAAGAATTAATTTGGAATTAATTTAGTGATCAAAAGAGACTAATTAAATATATGGGGATTGATTGTGTAAATCATTCATTCTTATATATGTGGGCTTATGATCCATGATTCCTTATGTTGGGTTTAACCCATGTGGTGACCCATGGATACTCCATGAAGGTTAAAACCCATAGAGCATAAGGAATGGGTAAAGTCATGGGTTACATGGTGTAACCCTAATGTGCACACTATATAAAGACCTCATTGGTTGGTGAAATTGGCACTAGTGCATACACAAGAGGGCAAGCCGATTTCTAGAGTGAAGTATCTCTTCTCATGGTTATTCCAAGTTGTTTTTATGTTATTTGAACCATTTGAGGTGTCACACTTGGGGCACTAGGCTCTTGATCTCCATGGAATCAAGCTACAACAAAGAGGTATGTAATTCTACTAGATTTTATATTACATGTACTTTA